CCTTTAGCTTATTTTTGTCTGGGAAGCTCTTTATCTGTCCTTCAACTCTAAATGATAGCTTTGCTAGATAAAGTATTCTTGGTTATAGATCCTGGATTTTCATCACGTTGAATATTTTGTGCCAAGCCCTTCTGTCCTGCATAGTTTCTTTTGAGAAATCAACTGCTAGTCTTATGAGTGCTTCCTTGTAGGTAACTAACTGCTTTTCTCTTGCTGCTGTTAACATTCTCTCTTTGTATATAACCTTTGGCATTTTAATTATGATGTGTCTTGGTGTGGGCCTCCTGGTTTTGGGGACTCTCTGAGCTTCCTGGGATTTTATGTCTATTTCCTTCAACAGGTTAGGGAAGTTTTCCATCATTATTTCTTCAAATATATATTCAACTTCTTGTTCTTCCTCTTCAGGTGCCCCTATGACACAGATATTGTTACCCTTAATTTTGTCCCATAAGCTCCTTAAATTATTATACTCTTGGTTACTTTTTTCTTGCTGTTCTGATTGGGTGTCCTTGGCTTCCCCATCCTCTATATCGGTGGTTTGATCCTCTGTTGATTCCTTCTAATATACTCCTCATCTTAGATAATGTGTTCTTCATTTCTGACTGATTCCCTTTTATAATTTCCCTTTCCATTTTTATGTTTTTTATCTTTTTTGAAGTTCTTACTGAATTTATCTCCACTTCCCAAAAGTTCATTGAGCATCTTTATAACCAGTGTTTTGAACTCTGCATCTGTTAGATTACTTGACTCCCTTATATCTGGATCTCTGTTCTGTTCTCTCATATTGTTTCTTCTTTGTCTTCCAATTTTGGCTGCCTTTCTGTGTCTATTTCTGTGTACTAAACAAAGCTCTTAAGTCTCCTGGTCTTATTAGTGTGGATTTGTGAAGTAGGTGTCCAGTGGCACAGTCCTGAGAGGGGTTCAGCTGCAGGCCAAATTTAGCCCAAGCTTCAGCACCTCCGGGGCCACCTGTTAAGATTCAGCAAGCAATCCACAGATGCTGTGCTTACAGCTGCCTCAAAGGCCACACCAGAAATCGAGGACAGCTGCCTCCAGTGTGAGTCTAGGTGCTGCTCAGCAAGAAGCACCTGACTCGCTGAGGACATACCTGGATGTGGCTTGGGTGGAGCCACAAGTTTGGGGTTTCAGGGAATCCTCTGGGCAGAGAGACCTCTGTTATCCAATTTGATGACATCAGGGCTATGGTGGTGCCGTGTCTTCGCACTGGGAAGGGAAAGGGATCAACAGGAACAATGGATACCGCCAGCACTTCTGTACAGAGCAAATCTCACTTTTGCCCTCACTCCAACAATGTCTCCCTGTAAGTCCCTGGTGCTTCCTGTGCGCAGCCAAATCAGCACTGGTGCTCAAAGTGAGCAGGTCCATCACCACAAAAATCCACTTGTGGACACGGCCCCTTTAAGAGGAGTCTGAAGCTGCTGCAGCCTCTGTCTTACTCAGCCGCTCGGGACTAGGCAGCTCTGCATCCATGCTCCATCCTACCTTCTGCTGTTGTAGGGTGATTTCTTGGATTTCTCTATAGTTGTATGGTTTGTTTATCTAGATCCCCGGCGTTTTTCCTTGCTGCTGCTCCTTATTACTGTCATAACTTTGATTTGGTCGCCGGAGGGATGAACAGAGCCTCTATCATCTATGCCATTTTTTTTTTCTATCAGATATTAGGATCTTATAATTATTTGAAAATAATACTTATTTGCTATAAAAATGCTTGAAAACCAGTACTATGGGTCATGGTTTACTATTGGTTGATCTTCTTAAGTGGGGAGAAATTTGATCATGTTTACATTTGCAAAAGCCAACAGACCTGATTACACTACAGAGCACTGGAGGCAGAAGGAAATGAAGGCAGGGAGATCAATTTGGGGCTCTGACTATAGTCTAAGATGATAAAGGTTAGAATTAAGGCATTTGGTGCATTAATCTCAACAGAAATCAAAACTGATTGGATTTTGGTATGAGGGAGAGAAGTAGAAGTCAAGGTTGACTCCTAGGTTTCTGGCTTGGGCAACCAATTTGATTTTTATTAATGTAGCAAGTACAGGTGGAGGAGTAGGATACTCCTCCTACTGGAGGGAAGGTTGGAAATTTAGTTTGAACAGTTTAAGTTAGAGATACTTGTGGGACAACCAAATACAGTGGGATCATAATTTAAGTACATTAACTTGAGCAAATTCAACAGTGCAGGACATGGAGGAATATAAGAACTTCAATATGTCACCTTCCTAAGAGAATTTCAAGGGAAATTGTGACTATGTATGTTTTTTGGCTTATGTGTTGACTTTAGAATTTAACTTCCACTCCACTGTTACTGGTCTGAAGATAGAGGTATCCAGAAGGGAAGCTGAGAAGGTGTCCTAACTGCAATTGTAAAGATGGAGGACCCAGTGGTAGTTGAACCTGCAGGAACAGATGAACGGTGAAGAGAAAGTTTACCAATGAAAAGCAAAGCTCTGGAGGGTGCTAGTATTTAGGGGGAAGATAAAGAAATGAGAAGGAATAAGAGAGATGGGAAGAATGGTCAGAGAGGAAGGAAAGGAACCTGGAAATGCTGGGTTTCACAGAAGCCAAAGGAGGAGAGAAGCATTAGAGGTCAGAGGGTGAAAGTAAAAGGATGGCAGGAAAACATGCCTCAGCCCAAGAGACTGCGGGTTTTCTGTTGCAGGAGTAGTTGTCCTGCCCTGTGTGCTCTGTGTGCCCTGTGTGCCCTGTGTGGCCTGCTGTGGCCTGCTGTGGCCTGCTCTCAGGCTAAAGGCAGGAAAAAATCCTGAAACTCATCTCAGTCCCTCTCTCCTTCCAAGACTCAGCTCCCCTCCAGGGTTTGCCTGCTTTTGTTTCTTCTCCAGTACCCTCCTGTAGTTATGTTTTGTATTTCGTTTAGAGTTTATACTTGCTATGCCTGGGAAGGTCTGTCTGGTAGAAGCTCTCTCAATCATACCATTTTCATTTTAAAAGTTTAATTGTCATGATCCTGTGTTTAGTGGCTCACAGACATTGGAGACTATTTTCTTTCATTCTCGGAGTTGAATATAAGCTCAGTGCTTCGAGGCATCTGACCAGAGAAGGGGTGTTATTAAAGCACTGCTTTAAGTTTGCAATTTTTATTTAATTATTTATTAAATGTTTTAGCTTTTGTTTTTTTACAGCTTTATTGAAATGTAATTTACATACCATTCAATAGCTTTTAGTGTATTCACAGATAAGTAAAACTATCCCCACAGTCAATTTTGGAACATTTTAATTATCTCAGAAATGAACTCTATACCCTTTAGCTATTGCTCCCCCTCTTTCCATCTTCCCCCACTCCTTGGCCCTAAGCAGCCACTAATCTACTTGCTGTCTCTATAGATTTCCCTATT